ATTTCAAATTTACCTTCGTTAACTTCAACATTAATCCACCAAATAGAGATATGTTAATTTAGAATGACGTGTCAATAATTAATTGAGTAGACAACAAATTAAATAGCAAGAATTGGACAACAGATCCCAACTGAAGTTTGACACCCTTGTTGAAAGATAGGTGATGTGGCAAAATTTTGATGGTTAAACTAAATGTGTGAGATGTAAAAGATGATATGAAATTTTGTCAATGTAAATTCGATAAGTCAAAGTGTAAACAAGATGTACATGTAGTAAGGTTGTAGGTCATATACTATTTAAGAGGCTATTTGGCAGGATGTTGAATGATTTCCGTCAATTTGTCTTTATGTGCATCAATAAAAGTAGTTTAGGGATCAAAATTCAATAAAAAAATAAATGGGGACCCAAGTAAGACAAGTGGTTATGTCTGGGAATTGTGTTTCCCTAAAAGTAATGCTATCTTACTAATATATTGAGCTCATATTTGGTTTAGATTAAAATCAATTTTTTGGTAGATTTTGATAAAATTTGATGAAATATGTGGTTGAAAAGTTGTGCGTTCAATGAAATGTATGATTAAAATTAATTGCTAAATTTGACTTGGATTTTAATCAAATTTTTTAAGTTACCAAACAAGGACTTAAAGAGTAAGAAGTAAAATTAACACGACTTGCCATTGATGTGAATTTTACCCTTCCCTTTCATTTTCCACACATAATGCTTGAGGGGATTTGTGTCATTTTTGTTAAATTTTTTCAATACGATAAATTATTATTATTATTATTATTATTATTATTATTATTATTATTATTATTATTATTATTATTATTATTATGTACATTTATAATAAATTTTAAATCAGTCTCATTTTCACCGTAATCTCAAAAGACATAATTATTGCAGTTTCCCTATATCTTGTCACATCACCCTATTAATCTCATGGACTTGGTAGATATGACGTCAATAACATCCCAAACTCACCAATTGGTCGCCTTAATTCCCCTATCCTCCGTGGGCCATCATTACTTGAAGGAAACAATGACGTGATGGTTATCAGCCTCATTAATCAATCAAGCGAAAGGTCGGTGGCATGTGGTTTAAGCCCAACACTAGTGGCTGGTTTGATTGAAATGACACATTTTCAGCAAAATCCCTTATAATTAGTGAGAAATGATTCTCTTCACGGGATGACACAAAAAAATAAAAACATAAAGTGTACAAAATTGATCTCTCGGACTAAATATGAGTGCTCTTTTTTCTTTAAGTTGGCATAAAAATTAGTTTTCACAATTTTTGACATCAACATAATCAATAATAATTAAGGAGTAAAAATTTAGTAATTATTTTTATTAATTTAACGTAATTATTTATAATAAATTTTAATAATACAATCAATTATTTTTGCCAATTTAACATACTACATAAAACAAGTGAATAATTAAGTAATCAATAATAATTCAATATTTTTCGTAAATTTAACGTAATTATTTA